CTGGAAACTTGTAAGAACTGCCAGGGGACATTCGAAACAGCCTATGATGAATGCTATAAGAGACGAGAATGGCTATATTCTGAATGATGAAGTTTTGAGTTTAAAGAGATGGAAGGAATATTTTGAAAGCGTGTTTATGAGTGAGGAGACAACGTGTGTACTAAGTGAAGTAGAAATTCCGAAAGAAGAGGAAAGAGGTAGCGAGATAAGTGTAGATGAAATAATGAAAGCAATGAAAAGCATGAAAGCAGGTAAGGCTGCTGGATATGATAGAGTTTCCCTCGAAATGCTAAGGGCTGGAGAGGAAGTGGTGGCAGGCCTGCTGCACACCTTGTTTAATTTATGCTGGGAACTGAAGCGCGTACCGGTAGACTGGTGCAAAGCCGTGATAGTCCCAGTATATAAGGGAAAAGGGTCGCAGCAGGACTGTAAAAACTACCGTGGCATCAGCCTTCTTAGCATTGTGGGAAAACTGTATGCTAAGGTACTGATTGAAAGGGTCATGAAAGAAACTGATGGAAAAATTTGGGATGTGCAAGCGGGATTTAGAAAGGGAATGGGATGTACAGATCAAGTCTTTTCCATGCGCAAGATCGCGGAGAAGTTTTTGGCCAAAAACCAAAAGGTTGTTTGTGCGTTTATGGACTTGGAAAAGGCCTATGACAGAGTGAATAGGGATGTACTATGGCAAACACTGAAGTTATTTGGGTTGGGCGCTGGCTTGATACAGGCATTGGAGTCCCTTTATAGGGACTCTAGTGCTTGTGTTAGGATCAACGGGGTCTACTCGGACTGGTTTGACATCCATAAAGGTGCTAGACAGGGCTGTGTGGCTTCCCCGTGGCTGTTCAACCTATTTATGGACAGTTGTTTGCAAAATTTGAAAGTTGAAGAATGCGGATTAAGAATGGGTGAGTTAACCGTCAAATGCCTTTTGTACGCCGATGATCAAGTTATCCTTGCGTCGTCGGCGGCCGAGTTGCAAATGATGGTTACATTAATGAACAAATCATTAAAAGAAAGGGGTATGAAAGTGAACGCAAGTAAGACGAAGGTTATGGTTTTTGAAAGAGAAGAAAGTAAAACGATTTGTGAAATAAGAATAGAAGGGGAGTTGATCGAGCAAGTAGATGAGTTTGTATATTTGGGCTGCGTATTTAGCAGGGATGGAAGATATGATAAGGATATAGAACGACGAGTGAATGCGGGAAATAGAGTAAATGGGGCCCTGCACTCTATTGTGAAGAGTCAAAATGTGTCAAAAAAGGCACGTATGGCAATTCACAATGCTGTGTTGGTCCCTACTTTAACGTATGGTAGTGAAAGTTGGGTGTGGCAGAAGAAGCACGAGAGTAGAATGAACGCAATAGAAATGCGGTCGTTAAGGAGTATGTTAGGGCTGAATCTTAATGACAGGGTAAGAAATTGTGTAATAAGAGAGGAGTGTGGCTTGCAAGATGATGTTGTGACCAGGATTAAGAAAGAAATGCTTCGGTGGTTTGGTCATGTGGAAAGAATGAAAGAGGAAAGAATGACAAAGAAAATTTATGTTGTAGAAGTGAATGGCAGAGTCGGAAAGGGACGTCCTAGGCGAAAATTTATCGACCAAATTGGCGATTTATTGAAAACGGGCCAAATTAGGAGTACCCTTAACCTGACGAGCATGTATGCGGAGGTGTATGGATGTGAAGGAGGCGAGAGAGGTGTGTCAGGATCGTGCCAAATGGAAGTCTGTAGTCTCTGCCTACCCCTCTGGGTGACAGGCGTGAGTGTTTATGTTATGTTTTTGTTATGTTGGATATTTTCATCCGTTATGTATGTTTATGGTATTGTTCGTAATGCGCATAAGTCCAATTTTCCAAAATTTTTTTAATATATTTTTTGCGTCTCATAGAGTCCCTAAGCGTATACCCGAACTCCTATACTCCCAGAAACGACACTCATTCCTAACTACAAGACGCAAGTCTCGCAGGCTTAGTCTTGTTCTTGCTCAAATCTTGCACGGCCAGTCTTGGTTTTGGTCTTGCTAAAATTAGGCGGTCTTGTTCTCGGTCTTGGTCTTGCAAAAATGCAAGAACAAGACCAAGACTGCAAGACCAAGACCGATTTTGGGCAACACTAGGTCTGAGCGGTCGCCTTTTTAGGGATCGGGTGGATGAAAGCCGTCTTCCATGATTTTGGGACTACGCCTAGGGAGTAGGAGTACCGGAAAAGACGCGTCAAAACCGGTGCCAACTCTGGAGCACACGTCAGCACAATTGGGGGGATTCCGCCAGGCCCACTCGATGTCCAGGGAGAGGAGTGCTTTGCGAACCGAGCGCTGTGTGAACTGCACTTCTGGCATGGAGCACTCACACCGCGGGATGGTCGGCGGTGTACTCCCCCCGTCATCGAGAGTCGAGTTGGACGCAAAGAAAGAGCCTAGCAGATCGGCTTTATCCCTTGCGGTATGGGCCAGTGAGTCGTCCTCCCTGTGCAGAGATGGAAGAGATGGCTGACAGAAATTCCCCTGGACAGCCTTGGCGAGAGACCAGAATGCACGGGTTCCAGAAGGAAGGCGAACTAGTTTCTCGCCAATTCTGCCTATGTGCTCTGACTTTGCCTTGGCAGTGACTCTTTTGAAGGACCTAGAGGCGGAATTATACTTCTTTTTTAGAGCGCTGGTGTTTACATCCCGGGACGTTGATACGTCAGCCCAGGCTTGGTAGCACTCCTGTTTATAGCATGATACTATTTTACAGGAGCGACCAAACCATGGCTGAGGCACTACACGCCAATGGGCACCACAGAGGAAGGAATAAAAAGTTCCACACCCTGAAGTACCACATCAGCGACAGAATCCGCAACAACGTTGGGATCGTCCGGCGAGAAGCAAACCCGCCCCCATGGGTAGGATCAAAGAAAGACCGCATCCCATCCCAATCGGCTGACCTATAGTGCCAAACACGGCGGCAGCCTGCAGAATGCAACTGCGATTTCAGCGTGAGTGGCACCACACTCCGGACAAGACAAATGGTCCGAGGAGACTAAAAGGGCGTCGACAGACATCTGATATCCGTCCGGGTGAGAGGTCAGCAGAAGGTCTAACAGGGAAGGTGCATGATCCTCCACATCTGGAATCCGCGTAGGCGAAGTAACCAGTTGTGTCAGACCATATGCCAAGGCAAATCATGAACAGATCTCCCCGCATGATCGGTTAAACGTGAACCAAGCCATTCGGCGTGATGGGCGTTAAAGTCGCCGAGGATCACGATCTCTGCGGAGGGGATCTGCTGTAGCAACGAATCTGTAGCCATTTGGACGTGGTCGAAGAGTCGGTCTGTTTAAGCATTACCGCTATGGGACCTATAGAGGCACCAGTAGACGCGCAGACGGTCGTCGCTCTCTACGCGTAGCGTAATTTCAGTTCGAGTCATTGGAGGTTTGTTGGTCAAGGGCCAAAAAGTTAAAAGTCGAATTATTTTTATTTAATTAGGATAATATATGTATAATTTTTGCGAACGTTGTCGTCATGGAGGCTGAGGGGCCCTTGATCTCGAGGGCCCCGGGGCACTGCCCCGCCTAGCCCCAAGGTAGCTACGCCACTGTATGTATTCGAAGTCAATTAAATTTGCATTATTAAGGGCAACTCAAAAACAACTGGTAAGATCTTGATCAAATTTATATGGGCCACACGAGAAGCATAGTTAAAGTTTTACGTGGTAGAGCCATGCTACAGCTATACTGTGGTTGCAGCACAAATGGGTCGGCTCGACCGGGGTAGGACCATGCTCTCACAGAATACCGTCGTAAAAAAGCAGCTTAATGGTGCTTATTAATGCATGTTTCATATGGTGAGTGTAGAGAACCGGAGACCCTTTTTACTGAAAACGAGGCATTCTATCTCAGTCCTCAGGGCTAGCAACGCATCTGCATTTTGATCCTTAATTTTAAGATAAATGTAGATGTCTATGGGCTACAGCATCCACTTACCATCAGGTGGACTGTGTGCTCGTTTGTCACTCTTATTCTATAAAAAAAGCTTTCAAATAAAATCAATCAAAATTAAAAATGAAATCATCTAAAAAATCATCTAAATTAGTTAATCCAGAAAAAAGTTGTGAGGTAACACACATAAAAAAACATACAGTGAAATTGAGTACCTGCTCGTTTTTGAAGTCGGCTATCTATAAAGCGATAGTGGCAGTGGACTGCGTATACACAGGGATGATGATGGCTATGTTATTCTTATTATTTTTGTCAAAAAAAAACAGTCATACAGTCTCCACTAAGAATTAAATATAGATGTATAGGGGTAACTCCCGTCGAGGACTGAGATTAAATGTCTCATTACCAGTAACAAGGATATCTGGTTCTCTTGACCACGACCCACTTGTGCTGCAGCCACGACTTAGCTTCAGAATAAACACAAATATGAAGGGGTGCGCAAATGAATAACGTACTTCAATTGAGAAAAGTAGGTTTTATTCAGTCTTTAACAGACAATTCAGCCAAAACGTTAAACAACATTCGGTATAAAGGCTTGGTTCATTTTTTACTCTTTCTTACAATTCAGTGATGTAAATTTAGTCCATGAAAATAATGAAACTGCTCGATCAAAGTAATTTTATGTGCCATCAGGCAAACCTTCAAATTCAGATCTATTTTTAAATAGCTCAAGGACTTAATATTACACTGCTGTTACATTGATTAATATCGAATAACAAGAAAGAGAGAGAAGTCAAAGTTGTGAACAACCTTTCCAATATGCATGCATTAACACTGTTAAAGATTACGTGAATCGGTACAAAGGTAAATTATGTTTACTGAATGTACGTATTTCTTACATTAAAAATAAAAAATGTTAAATCATCACATCTTTCAGTTGAGCCATTGACTAAACAAATGTTTTGATACTTGGAGAGTTATAGAAGAAGACATGCGGCGCGGGCGATGTGAAACGTTGACTAGCGCACCGCCGCGCGCCGTTCGGTTGCGGTAACGTGACGTGTAACTCGGGTTTAGCGTTCGTCGTTGGCAGGGTTGGCGGGGTCAGCGGCGGCGGGCGGGGCGGAGTGTGTGGCGGTGGGCGGGGCGGGGAGCGAGGCGTCGGGAGCGTCGAGGCGCCAGTCGGCGGCGCCGGGCGCCCAGATGGAGGCGAGCGAGCGGAAGGGATCGTAAGCGCGCGGCGGGCGAGGCGGCGCGCCGAAGCCGGGCGGCGGCCGCACCGCGCCCGCTGCGCCCCACGCCCACGCGCCGCCCCACCCCCCGCCCAGCGCGTCGAACCCGCCGCCCACGCCACTCACACCGCTCACGCCGCTCGCTTCCTCTGAAAAACACACAATAATATAAGTTAATAACAACTGATTAAAACTACTTTTACGGATTTTATCGCGTTTATTTTTACTTTTTATTTTTAATTCCCGACGTTTCGGGCGCTTTCCAGCACCCATGGTCACGGGGGACTGAGATGACTGACGTCCCGATGTCATTGTTAAACCCGGAGTACCTTCAGCTTTTTTAATTATTGTTTATGGTCCGATCTATGCAAAATGAACTGACTATGGCCTGAGGTCTTGCAGTGGTATGCTTGGGTTTAGTTTTAATTTTATTGATTATAGGATCCCAAGCAGGTGGTAGTACCCAGCCTCCTTCTCTATTGAAATTAGGATGTTTTTTAATTTCAATAGCCTCACGTATCATCCTTGGTAGGAATCGGTGTTCTTTCGCGAGGATTTGTGGTCTATCAAATCTGATGTAATGGTTGGGGCCGTCTAGGATATGATCACAAACTGCAGACTTCCCGGAACGTTGATGCTTCACATCAGCTATATGTTCTTTTACGCGGGTCCTAATTGATCTTTTGGTTTGTCCTATATAAGAGAGACCACATTCACAATCAAGCTTGTACACTCCTGCATCTTGTAGAGGAATATGACACTTGACGGATGGTAGGAACTGACTAATCTTCTTCGGCGGCTTGTAGAATGTTCTAATAGAAGCTCGCTTCAAGATAAAGCCAATCTTGTCTGTGACACCTCTGACATATGGTAGTACAGCAGGCACACGCTCGACTGTGGCCGGCTTCACTCGGTCACTGTGACGTAGGCGCGGGACCCGAAGCTTGTTGTCGTGCAGAACTTGCTTGACGTGCTGAAGCTCGGCGGCCAGGTGTTTGCTGTCTACTACTACTATGGAGTTAGAGGCAAATAATTCCTTACCTTTCCTAGATGTGTTAGTCATCCGAAATCCTAATAACACCATTGGTCACACTGTGTATAGGAAAAAGACCCATACAAACCGATATTTAAACGGTGAATCTCACCACCATCCTTCGCACAGTTTAGCTACCGTGGGCCATTTTTTTATTGATGGCGAAAAAAAATCATTGGTCCCTGATTTGTCGATAAAATTAATTGTATTTTAACCCCTTAAAGTATCGGACATCGGAAACCGGACACCCTGTATATATATATATATATATATGCGCGGGCGATACGTTCGCAACATAAAATACTATATACACAACATAGAACATATTTAATATATTGCATATAACCCAATATTCGTTCGTTCAAAAACTATTTTCTATTTTTTAATATTGTCATACTGATTGTAATATTTAGGTATAAACAATATTAAAAAATGTGGTGCATCAACTCACCTAAGTAGTCTCGCGTGGGCGTGGTGTGTGTGGCGTAGGGGCGATCGAGCGTTGTAGCGCGCCACGGCAGCTCGGTGCCGTCGCCGTTGAAGTAGAACAGTGAGTGGTCGGTAGGTGCGGGCGCGGGTGTGGACACGGGGGTGGGTTCGGGCGCGGGCGCGGGGGCGGGGACTGGTGCGGGAGCGGGGGCGGGCGCGGTGCGGCGAACATCCGAGCCGATGGGCGGTAGCGCGCCACGTGCCGCCACCACTGAGCTCCACGACGCGCCCCAACGTAGCGCATTGCTGCTTCCTGCGCCGCAACCTCCGCCGTTTCCGGTCGTCACACGCGTCGCCTCCTCCGTTTCCGGCTCTACGTCGCCTTGCGTCGGCGATCCAGCCGAGACGATCACCCGCTCGTTCCGCCGTTTCGTACTCTTGTCCTTGCGGCCGTGCTTGCCGCTCGGCCTACGCGCGTGTGATACTTCCGGCGACCCGGCCATTTTGGACCTTTCGCTGCGTCGAGGCGTGTCACCGTGCTCGCGGCGAGGCCGAGTAACGTGCGGCGATACATTATTAAAGTCGGGAGTTTTTGTGGGCGGTTCGATCGGAATTTGTAGTCGATCGTCGTTTGCGTCTGTGGGTGTGTCGCGGTTTGCGGTAGTTTCGTTCTCCTCCGGTTCGGAATGCTCCTCGAGCTCGCCCCTGTCGCTGGCCGGCGTCGACGCGTTGGACCCGCTGGAGACCGCGTCCTCGTCGCCGCTGTTCGACGGCCGTTCGTCGTCGTCATCACGCTCGCGATCTGGTTCGTAGTCGTCGTCGTCGTCGTCGATCTCTGGGGGCAGGTCGAGTTGCAACTCAAATGGTTCGTCGTTGTCGAGCGGAGAAGTTGCGAGATCTTCGACGTGCGGCAGCGGTGGTTCGGCGTCGGCGGAAGTGGAGTCGGCGTCCTCGCTGGAGCGGGAATCGTCGTCGTCCGGGCGGCGTAACATTTCTGCTCGCCAGCGCTCGAAGGCGCGCCGCTCCGCGTGCGGGTCGGGGGCGGGCGGCGTGCGGCGCGGCGCGCGGCGGCGGCGGGCGGGTGGCGCGCGGGGAGGCGCAGGGGCATGGCCGGGCGCGGGTGCGGATGTAGGCTCGGCGGCGGTGCGCAGGTCGAGCGGCGCGCGCGGCGCGAGGTGCGGATCAGGCGCGCGAGCGGCGCGCGCACGGCGCAGCAAGCGTTCGGCGTCGAGCGCGGCGGCGGCCAGCACGAGCGCGAAGGCGGCGGCAGCGAGAAGCGCGGCGGCGGGCCGCAGCAGTGGGTCCCAGGGCGGGCGCGGCGCGGCGGCTGTGCAGTGCGGTAGTAGGCGCGCAGGCGCAGCGGCCGCCAGGGCAAAATGTGCGCGGCCGCGCTCCCAGCGCAGCTCGAGGCGCGCGCCAACCAACGCCAGCGTGTAATCGGGCGCGAAGGCAAGCGCGAGCGCGCGTGACGAGTTAGGCGCGAGCGCGAGCAGCGCGCAGGGCTGCAGGCGGAAGCCGCGCGCCTGGCACGCGCGACCGGCGACGCGCCACTCGCGCAGGCGCACGTTCACGCGCCCCGTGTTACGCACCACCACCGTGCGCCGCACTACGCCACCAGACCCGTCCGCGCCGCCACACTCGGACACCTGCCCCATACACTCCATTTCAAGCGACATTCCATCTTAGTCCTGACAACCGATAATGAATCTGCATCTTATTTTTAATCAAAATCAAAGTCAAAATATTTTATTTAAAATTGGCCATTCAAAATCACTTTTAAAAAATTACGACATAGCTTTAACAAAAACCTACTACGAGAGACTTTGTGAAGAAAAGCGGGAAGCAGCCATTTATATTGTCTTAGAAACTAAGAAAAGTCCTTTGATATTATTCCAAAAAATGTTTTAGTACTAATTTAAACCACGACTAAAAGATCCAAGTTTGATAACATTTAATACTAAAGTCAAAATGTGTTATTATTACTAATATTTTGGCTTGGATGCTTGTCCTTTAAGCCATGTCTTCATTCTATTCATGATCTTCGTTTTTATAAAAAAAAAATATTCATAATATGCCTGACATTACTAAAGTTTTACAACAATACAAAAGTTTAACAACTCAACCCAGCAGACGATCGTCGTTTCGTCGTTCGTAGCAACTGTCACTTAAGTTCATAAGGCGCCTATACGATTAAAATAACTTGACAACGGCCTCGGGGGGGGGGGGGATAAAGCTATATAATGCCTTACGACCTCATTTTTTGTATTCAGTACTTACACTACCACTTTTTGTAAAACGAAACTCTGTTTAAAATATTTTTTCTAAAATAATATTAGTGTGTTTACAGTTTTCTACCTTCTTTTGTTTTACTTACTGTTACATCTCAGAAGTGGAATAAGAAGTGAAAGCTATAAAGTGTCATCACGTTAATGTGCCAAGGAAAGGTCAGCTAGTCCGTAGCTAGTCCGTCCTCAACAATGGAACGAATTGCTATCGCCAACGCTGTTTCTTCTGCATATCAATGATATGTTGCGAACCCGTAACATTCATTGCTATGCAGATGACAGCGCTGGTGATGCTCTTTACACCGGCCGTGCCAATATTTCTCGGGAAAACGTCTCCGAGTGCCGGGACAAACTTGTGTCTGAAGTCGAGTCTTTGCTGAACAGAGTCTCGGATTGGGGGCGACTAAATCTAGTCCAGTTTAACCCCCAGAAGACACAAGTTTCGCGCGTTAACCGCTAAAAAGAACCCCTTTGTCGTATCTCCTCAGTTTCAAGGCACCCCCCTTGTTGCCTCAGCCAGTATCGGAATCCTCGGCGTCGACATATCGAGTGACGTGCAGTTTCGTGGTCACTTGGAAGAGAAGGCCAAATTGGCCTCTAAACAGCTTGGCGTGCTCAGCAGAGCGGGACAGTATTTCATGCCGGCACACCGCCTGCAACTTTACAAGGCGCAAGTTCGGCCGCACATGGAATACTGTTCCCATCTCTGGGCTGGGGCTCCCCAGTACCAGCTCCTTCCACTTGACCGCATCCAGCTCAGAGCGGCTCGAATTGTCAACGACCGAGTGCTTTCCGATCGGCTCGATTATTGGCGCTGCGAAGAGATGTTGCATCTCTTTGCATTTTCTTCCGCATATACCATGGGGAGTGCTCTGAGGAATTGTGGATCCTAGCCGCCAAATTTCGTGAAGGCACTACGCGGCAAACGTCCCGATACCATCCACACCATCTGGATGCTTGGCGGTACACCACTGTACATTTCAAAAGGAGATTTCTTCCGCGTACGACCTCTCTGTGGAATAGTTTACCACCGGCGATTTTTCCGGACCGATACGACCTGGGGAACTTCAAGAAAATAGCTTACTCCTTTCTAAAGGGCCGGCAACGCACCTGCAATTCCCCTGGTGTTGCGGTTGATCATGGGCGGCGGTAGTCACTTAACATCGGGTGAGCCGCATGCTCGTTTGCCCCCTCTTCTATAAAAAAAAATCCTCAATGAAATATTCATCCGAAAAATTGAAACAGTTTGTGTACAAAACCGATACTATCTTTATATGACCCGGCATTGCCGATGGAGATTCATACTGAAGCATGAAAAAACTAACTGATAATTCATTACGCCCCGTTATGTACATACATGTAGGATGAAGAGTAAAGAAGAAAGCATGTATCATAGTTACGAGCTTAAAACCGCATACGGTAGTCCAATCATTCCGAAGATTTAGGGTGTATATCGTAAGCAAACATATCAAGGCCGTGACGAACTATACGACTGTCCGTGCCAACTTAACTAAACGTGACATTATCCCGCATATAGCCAGGTGGTGGCTGTCAACACAAGATTTTGACATAAGTGTAGAGTATAGATCCGGAGAGAATGAAAAATGTAGACACGTTAAGTAGGAACCCAATCGATACTGGTTTTATACTGTCCAGTATCACGATGATAAGTTGAAGCGAATCGTAATAGCCAACAATTATGTATTCTCAGATTGTGTAGAAAGACATTGCATGGTAATTGCCTTGTAGTGCCAGCATTAGCGCGATGGAGGCTGGTCCCGATTCCCGGGAGGTGCCTAGGCTGGCACCATGATGACATAGGACATGTAGTTTCCAAAAATGACTCGTCCATTCGAAAGTTTGTTACTACTTGCTTTAATTGTGCTTATGGTAAAAGTGATCATGGGACGACAGAAAGGAAGTTGTTCCCTATTCCCAAAGCCACAGAGCACATGATCACGGTTCATGTCGACCATTTATACTCATTTTGCAAGACAGCCAAAGGCTATCAGTATATGCTGGTTATAATAGATTCCTTTTCTAAATTCGTTAATGCTGAGCAAACTCGAAGAGTCGTTTCCGTAGAAACGATTAGAAAACTTAGAAAAATATTCAGCTTATTTAGATACCATGATAAACTTGTAAGTGACCACGGGAATGCTTTTACTAGTAGATATTTCAAAAAGTTTTCGTCTGATAAACAGCTTAGACATATTCTAACCTCCGTTGCATGCCCGCGAGCGAACGGTCGAATGGAACGCACCAACCGTACCATATTAAATGCCTTGCGTACCACACGCTAGACGTCTTTTACCTAATAAAATACGCACTATCGAGTTGTTTTACTTAAAATGATATAGGGTTGAGGCTCCTAAATAAATGTATGTACCACTGGATACGTATACGTTAGTTATCAATTACCATAGTGAAAATATATCTCTAATAGTTCATAAGCCTATCCCTACTTTGGTGGAAAAGAAGTATGTAGGTGTACTGGTGTACACCAGTACACCTACATACTTAAAAGAGTTGCTCTGAGTTGAGAAACGATTGCAGAGATAAATAAACCACCTTATTTTTTTTCCAAAACTGCACACCAGATTAGCGGTGGGTTCAAGCAGCTTTTTGAGTAACAAAACCAAACCATCTATCGAATATCGATAGCGGCTTTTGAAACACTCTATTTTGCTAATAGCGGCTTCAATAGAGTGTTTCGCGACATGTTTAATTGAAAAACGTGGCGAACGTTTTACGAAAAAGCTTGATTAGCTTGTTTGATGTTCTCGTCATTGAGATTTTACTGTAAAAAAGATTTAAGTATATTGCAATGTAATTTCCTCCATACTTATGTAGGCTTAGGACTAGATGTAACGAGTTAATTAAGTAACAAATAATACTAAAGTTAAAATTTAAATAACGCAGGGACATTTAAAAGTTCATTGTATATACATAACATAATGTATACAAATACTACATACCTATGTACAAGCCTGGATTATTCAAACTTACATATTTATATTATTGTTGCGCGCCTAAGTTGACGTCTGGCACTAGCGCCATCTAGTGTCGGGTAACAGAGCGATGAGAGCTTTCCAGAAAATGACATGAATAATCTTTTAATCAACAGCGCCATCTAGTATCGAATTGAAGAACTAAGCTTTCTCGAAGCCTCGCACTCGAATTTTCTGCGTCTGGTCGGTCGGCGCCCGTATCTACGGGAATATTCTGGATGTTTCGGCGTAAAAGTGTATTTAAACCCGCTGCATGCCGCGATCGGGGCAGTATTGAATTTGGCGAGACAAGCGAAGCTTCGGAGCGAAATAAAGTGAATCAGTGTGGTTAATTATTAGTGTTTTAAGTTTTAATTAGTGTAAAGTGAATTAAAGTGTAAATTTTGGTAATTCAATCGGGAGTTTTTACTGTCACGAACCTCAAGCTCGTAACATTATTAATACCCATAGTACTTCAAAAGCCTAATAAACGATTCGTTACATTTCGTTCTGATCGCACGATCGTGAATCGTGTTACAAAGTAAAACGTTTAATGTATAGATATAGTTTCATTGGACTGCAATGACCCGCTAGCCGCTATTGCATGAATAGATACTTTCAATAACTGGTGTGATGATATAAAATAAATGCGCAATAATATTTTATATGATTTGATTATGACAAAAGTGGGTCGTATCAAATATCAGACTTACGAAATGTTTTTGACGTAAATAGATTCCTACAAGTTAGCTAGTTTTAAGTATTCTTGACTCTTTCAATAAACGTATACGTGCAGCCGAGCAGGTGTAGTTCCTTTTAACCTACCACTATCGCCAACACACCAGACTGGTTACGTTTTGAAACGACCACTCTTACCCTACAACTAGTTATGGGATGCACGCTGTGCGTTTTTATGGATGGATCATAGTGTCCGACTGAAACAGGATTTTCAACCGTAACCGAAACCGAACGTTCGGCCTGAGTGTCAGTTTCGGCCGGAACCGAAACCGAAGCTTATATAGGCATGTATTATTTTATTGTAAACTGTAATCTGGTATATTTTTACACATATACTGGTAGTTTATTCATGCTAATGAAAAACAGTAATTGTAGTAGTCATGTAGCAATATTAAATTCAATAATTTAACATTAAGACACTTTTTTAAGTAAATTTTGTCAAAAATCAACATTTACACAAATGAAAAGTTACTCGCTAATTGAAAACATATTTTATTATGTGCACAATATTGTTAAAACTAATATATTACTAAAGGAGATCTTCAGTTGAGCTTAGAACTAATATAATTACGTCTTAACAAAGACACATAATAAATAATAGTACTACGTAACAAAGATTACAATACTTCTGACGACAGTTTAGTACTTAATTAAAGAAATAAGAATCACGTTTTGTTTTTAGCCCTAGATATTAAGAATTACCTCATTGTCAGTCTCAACAATAATTGTAATAATTTTCACAACAATTCATACTTGATAAGAAATCAGTTTTAAATTCAGAGAAACAAATGTAATATTATGATTATTTCTAGATTAGTAATCAACTAATCAATTTCAGTATTCGTTATTAAAAAGTCTGATACAGTATTCAGAAAAGCAGTTATTTAACATTTTCTCCTAGTAGGTTACTTCGACGATCTGCGCAAATTTATTCAGCGGCACTGAACAGTTGCTCGCTCAGTACTCTAGTAAGTAGCGCAGAAAGATACATAAAACCGCTTTTCTCAGAGTTGTATACGGACTGCTGTTGCAACAATATTCCGTTCCGCAGCAATAAATAGCTCCGACAGATAACACAGAAATTTTTCGATAATATACGAACACTAAGTTTCGCCGCCGCCGAAAGTTTGGCAGATTTTTGCCGAAACTATTAGCGAAACTAGATTTTTTTGCCGAAACTTGCTGAAACCGAAACCAAATCTTCGGTTGGTCATTACTTAAAACTCTTATACGGGGGCAATCTGCTATCCACTTGCTATATGTAAGTTCTAGGCTTGAAACAGGATGTTGTTGATAGTTACTTGACAAAAAAAAATTCCAAATCGGCGAATAAATATAATTTATATAATTAAATTTACAAAATAATTTAGAGTATGTACAGTTGGCTGTGCCGTGGTAGCTCAGATGGTTAACGCTATGTATAACAGAACGCGAGTAACCCGGGTTCGATCCCCGCCGGCACCAATTAAATTGTTAATTGCAATTTTAAGTGCTGACTGATCACGTGCTCCGCGGTAAAGGAAAACATCGTGAGGAAACCTTCATGTCTGAGTAATAGGAAAAAAAATATTTCGAAAACATGTGAAGTTCGCCAACACGTATTGGGGCAGCGCGGCGGACATTTCTTTGCCCTAAAACCCTCTCAGAAATGAGGGGAGGCTTGTACATTAGTAGTAGAGTGCAGTGCACTTGTACAGTTGGCTGGTTGAAATTTGAGTGGCCGCGTAAACAAATTGGCGGTAAAACAACAAGTCTTAAAATCTTGTTTGGCCGGTCTTCTAACTGGCTGGCCTACGTGTGGTTCCGTCTGACGTACTGCATGGAAGCGTGGAGTAGTGGGCTTAATGTAATCAGCATGCAGTTTAATGTACGAGTGTAGCAAGAAGTCATTCTCGACGTACACACAAGGTATAGGCTTAAAATTTCTGACATCGGTATTAGTATCATTTGTGCCAAACAGGAGCCGGAAGCAGCAAGACCATTTGATGTTAGTGATAAACTATGCTGAATCCATATTGATCAGTCTCAAAGAAGCAAAGTCACACATCATACAAGGATTACATCTGCCTATTTGTATGCTTTGCAACTAATACAATTCATTTGAATGCTGTTTGAACTCTGACCGTGACGGTGACCGTATTGTTACGAGCTTAGGGTTCGTGCCAATAAAAACTGCCAATTGAATTACCAAAATTGACACTTTATTTACTGAATACCAATTAAAACTTAAATCACACTAATAATTACTCACACTTAACATTTTAGTTCACTTTATTTCACGAAAGCTTCGCTCGTATCGCCAATTTAATACTGCCCCGGTCGCGGCCTTTCAACGGCTTTAAATAGGCCTTTTCCGCCGAAACATCCAGAATGTTCTAGTAAATACCGGTCCCGACCGACTAGTGCAGAAAGTTCGAGTGTGGACTTTTGTAGAAAGCTTAATTCTTCTATTCGATACTAGATGGCGCTGTTGGGAGAGTTCTAGAAAGATCTTGACACTCCTATTTCTGATACTTGATACCAGACGGCGCTAGTGCCATCAACTTTGGCGCGCAACAGTATTTAACCGTGTATTGGCGGTGTAAGAATATCCACTACACCGTATCATCCCGCGGGTGCGGCACGAGTGGGCGACAGCGGGAAAAATCAGAACAGCAGCCATGTATTTCTAATAACGACTAAACATAGAAAACTGCGGTTACCAACTCGCTTGCCGAGCGTGGCAATTATAGGAAATATACTTGCTGTGAGGCAATCTATGGGACTTCGATAGGCTGCAATGGGGAAGTATGACGGTATGGTTATGACGCGTTTACCTCAAATGAAATCGGAACCGTCGAGTTAGGTTTTCTTTCTGCTAACTCGAAACTGGGATAAGCTCCTTCGCCCATCAAAAATATCCCTTCCAAGATGGTTAGATTGTTTCTGTAACAAATTAAAGCGTTAAAAAAATTGTTGCTCGGGAATTATCGAAGGCAAATTTACTTTAGGTTTGTAATTGATAGTAGTCAACAGGTGCTAATTTTAATTATATATTATTAACTATTTTTATATATAATAAGGATAACACACGAGCACCATATGAAACAGCAGTAAGTTGCTGTTTCACGCTGATATTCTACGGGAGCGCGGCCCGCCCTTGTCCAGGCGATCCATTCGTGCTCAACCACGATGTGGCAGCGTACTGTCCACTTGATAATGTCTTTTTGAGAATCGGATAAATTTTATCTGTTATTGAGATTTTAACGGTAAATGGAAAAGATTTACTTGTAATTACAATAGTAGCCATTGACTTTAATGTCAGTGAAAGAGTTTTATCTGTTAGATGTACCATATATAGCTGGATCTAAGTGTTCAATGCCGTGTAGTGGCGGTTGAAAATATCCACTACCCCATATCTTCCCGTGGGTGTCGTAAGAGGCGACAGAGGGAGACAGGCAGGAGATGGGCAGCAGCATCTTCCTGATAACAATGATATAATAAAAAAACTGCGGTTGCCAACCCGCTCGTCAAGCGTGGCAACTATGGCAAATATCCCCCATGAATAACGACGCAAACAAACGGCCCCCAGTCCCCGGCGGCCCCGCTATCCCTAGCTACGGTGCCGACCATGGTAACGGCAGGGCAGGGGGTGCTAAGAATCTCCGGTGGAGGTTCGGTTGCCACCTACGACGAGTTGACCTGGCAACATATAACGCACGCACCCTGAGGACTGACGAGAAGATACTGGAGCAGGAAGAAGAAGTAGACAAGTTGCGCTGGCATATTATTGGATTATCCGAGGTCCGAAGAGAGGGGGAGGACACGGTAATCCTCGAGTCCGGCAACTTGTTCTATTACCGGGAGGGCGATCATCTGTCCCAAGGAGGTATCGGATTCATCGTCCACAAGTATCTCGTATATAACGTTGTAAAGATTGGAAGTGTGTCGACGAGGGTCGCGTATCTGATACTCAGAAACACCAAACGGTACTCGCTGAAGGTCATACATGTATACGCACCAACCTCGGCACATCCCGATGAGGATATTTCCAGAGCCATGCATTCCTCCAAAACCCACCACACGATGTTGATGGGAGACTTCAACGCAAAACTAGGCACAAGAGAAAACGGTGAACTGAAGTTAGGGAAATTTGGAGTAGGGCAACGGAACCGAAGGGGTCAGCAGCTGGCCGACTTTATGGAGAAAGAGGGACTCTTTATGATGAACTCTTTCTTCCAGAAGCGGCCCCACAGGAAGTGGACCTGGTCGAGCCCCGACGGTTCGACAAAAAATGAGATTGACTTCATTATGACGACCAGATGCCAACTGTTCAGTGATGTCACAGTGATCGCAAGGGTGAAAACTGGGAGCGATCACCGAATGGTTAGAGGCACACTGAACCTAAACGTTAAGTTGGAGAGGTCTCGTCTAATGAAGTCAACGCTCCGTCCCCCTCGTGCTCTAATCCAGAATCCCGAAAACTTTCAGCTCGAGTTACGTAACCGCTTTCAGTGCCTGATGACTGCAATACAGTGGACGATATGAATGACAAGCTCGTGGAAACTGTCCATGCGGTCAGAGCTAAGTTCTGCAAGACCCGCCGCAGAAGAACACAAAAACTCTCCGATCACACTCTTAATCCTATGGCTGTTAAGCGGGAGTTGAGGCTGCAATCGTCAATAGATTTGACAGCATATAGGCAACTGAAAAGACGAGACTTACGCAACTTTAATACTGCTCGTATTAAAGAAGCGATCGAGTGGAACCAGGGCTCCAAAGTCTTTGCCAGAGATCTGTCTGCCAGAAAGAGCCAACTGTCAAAGCTGAAGACTGAGTGTGGCACCATCGTTTCCGGGACACCTGAGATTTTCAGTGCGATTGAGAGGCTGTATGGGCAACTGTACACATCATCTTTGGAGCCACACACAAGTGTGAGTAACGATCCAAGAGCAAGGCTTATCCGACACTATTCCGATGATATCCCGGACGTCAGTCTGAGCGAGATTAGAATGACTCTCCAGCACCTTAAAACGGCAGGGCCCCGGGCGAGGATGGAATTACAGCGGAGCTTCTGAAAGTGGGTGGAACACCGGTATTTGAAGTCCTTCAGAAGCTCTTCAATTCCGTCTTCCATGGTGGCACTACTCCGGAGGTGAGGAGCAGAAGTGCGGTGGTCTTGTTCTTTAAGAAAGGCGACAACGCTCTCTTGAAGAACTACAGACCGATTTCCCTTCTGAGCCGCGTCTACGTGCTGTTTTCGAGTGTCATTACGAATCGTCTCGCACGCAGACTTGACGACTTCCAGTCTCCCGAACATGCCGGTTTCCGAAAAGGCTTCAGTACCTAGTGTATTTTTACGTGGTAGAGCCATGCTGCAGTCATATTAGTAGTATACTTGTAGCACGAATGGGTCGGCTCGACCGGAGAAGGACCACGCTCTCACAGAATACCAGCGTCAAATGGTAGCTTAATGCTGCTGTGTTTCGTATGGTGAATGTAGAGAACCGGAGACCCTTTTTACTGGAAACGAGGCATTCCACCTACGTCCTCACGGATGACAACGCATCTGCATTTTGATTCGCAATCGGGGATAAATGTAGATGTCTATGGGCCACAGCAACCACTTACCATCAGGTGGACTGTGGACTGTGGAGTGGAAAATTTTTCAAGAACTAATACTTTTATTACACCCGACCGTCATTTGGCCCCTGTTTAGAAATAATAGGCCCATATTTTTTATAACTTGTTTTCCTAGAGTATTATACCATTTTGGAATGTTGGTTAGTTGCGTCAATTTTTAAAAAAAAACTTGCCATACTAGTGTTCATAATTTTTTTTACACCACGATAAGTTAAAGTTGGTTAAAAGTAAAAGTCTTCAAAAAATTTAGGGAATAAAATAAGTTTCATTAATTTTCGTGATAAAACAAGAGTTATTCTGGATTTTTTAAGAATTGTGGTAGATAGCAGTGCTATTCAGGTTGCCTATAAAAAAAGAAACAAATATTAAAAAAATTGTGGTCATGGTAATGAAAAATATCATAAACGGTCTCAATTTCTGAAGAATTTCATTTTTTTTGTATAACTTAAAATATAATTGGGATATATTTTTTTTCTTTTTTCCCCGATTAGTCCGGGGCAGGTCATTTCTCCGGTGTTGGCTTATCGTTGAATTTTGGGACACGTTGTATATAGTTGTGTTATGGTTCAGTTAAAATGTTGTGATCTTACTACTCAGGGGTTTGAAGTTTACTGGTGTGTACGTTGGCTTTGGTAGTCACTATAACTGTGTAAATATATTTTGTAGTATGAGGATAATAAATGAGCACACAGTTTATGTGACGGTAAGTGGGATGATGTGGCCTATATTCATGTAGATTTTTTCGTAATTAAAAATCAAAATGCAGATGTGTAGGAGCAAAATTAAATGCTATGTTTCCAGTAAAGTGTTTCTAGTTTTTACATTGATTATGTCAAACACAGCAGCATTAACTTGGTATTTTAGGTTGATATTCTGTGAGTGTGTGGTAATATTGTGGTTGAGCTGACCTATCCTGTTGGAATTCGATCGAACCCATTCGTGTTGGGATACAGCTGCACTGTGATTCTACGATGTATATATTTATTCAATTATTTCAAAAAAGAGTGTTAATATAACATCTTGTAATTATTATCAGTTAGATTTTGAGATCAATTTGAAGATAGGTGGAATTTTGTAGTGACATAGTATATTTATTTGTGCAGTTGTTGAGGTTTGTTTGGAGAAGTGCAAGAGTGGGGGTGGGAGGTGAATTTTTGGACGGGTGAGAGTAATGAGGACGGTAGTGTGCAGTGTGCAGTGTGTGACGGTGAGGGAGGGCACTGTGGCACTTTGCACCTGAGGTAGAGGTAGGCGGCGAGCAGCGCCGACTCGGGCGGCGTGAAGGTGAGCGTGAGTTCCAGCTCGGTGCCGGGCTGCAGCAGCAGCAGCGGCGCGGGGGCGGGGGTGGCGGCGTGCGCGGGCGCGGGCGGCCACTCGCGCACGTGGCCGCTCGTGGCACGCCAGGCGGCCAGCGCGAAGGCGTGCGGCGCCCACACGCAGCTGCCGTTGACGCAGCGCGCGGCCCCGCTGCCGCCCGCACTGCGCCAGCCAAACACACATACTCGTACATCTACATATTCTTGTCAACAGGCACACACTAATCTTGCAATTTATGCACAGAAACATATTGTTCCTTCTACAACTTTCATTACACGACTCTACTTACTATACAATTAACACCAAAATATACATTTATTTTATCAAATTATATACCTAAGTTCAAATATATAAATAATGACATACCATTATTTAGTTTTGTAAATACTAGTAAATAAGATTTCTATTAAATAAAAAAATCATTATTATCAAATCACTTCGATTTTTTGAACCCACCTATGCAAAATGTAACGAAAATACGTACAAAAAGATCGAAACAGACCCTAATACGTTAATAACAACTAATGATTTAATAAAAATACTTCGAAAAATTAAATCTCGACATAATTTCAATAATACCATCATGTGTCAAACCACCAAAGCTGTATGAGTTTCCAAAATACACAAAAAAAAAAACAACGCTCCACTGCATCGGACAGTAAGCCAGATAGAGTCACCAACTGTGAGGACAAGCCAGAGCATGCACAAAGAATTCATATCATTTTGTTATTGAGATAAAAGACCCACATCTCACTGACATCATCATCATTACAGCCCTTCACAAGTCCACTGCTGAACATAGGCCTCCCCCAAATTATGCCACAAAGCACCTTCCTGCATGTCTTACCAGGTCGTCACTCCATCTAGTGGGGGGTCGCCCTACACTACGCCTACCGGTACATGACAGTGAAATGATAATCAATTTTAATGTTCAGTCACTACTCACATGACTACCTATTGAAAACGGCATCCCAATTCTGACAAGGAAACTAAAATTTAACAACATACCTACAAAATATATAATACAACTTAAGGCATCTACCTATCTATTATAGAAGGAAAAGTTCTACAGGCAAGTAGACGGTGTCGCGATGGGCTCAAGTCCCTCACCTACGTCACAGACACAAAATTACATAATATACAGAATAGTACTATGTACCTATAACCATACATGTGTTTTCATTACGATAGTTATATATTGTGCTGTATTTGGGTGCTTTTCTACTTCAAGGAATAATAAAGCCAGAAGTTTCTTTCGGTTCCCAAAGGAAGAAATAAAGTAAATAAGAGCAACTCTTTACCTACTTTTACATTAAAAAGTATACACAATAAGTCAGTGTTAGTGTACTATCATTTTGTGTAAAGTATTTATGTTTATTCATAGTTATATTATTATTATTACTCATCTAGGACATCATTAAGTTTAGAACTTCATCGTTCTACCATAGGTACGTAACTACTTACAATTAATATGTCCGCTACGATACGATCATTTTGTGTTATACACCTACGATAATATATCACTAAGATTGAAATTTCCGTACTGTTAACATTAGAACCTGCCCAGGCATTTGTGCGTGTACAAACGTCATTTGCCTATATAATAGTATAGGTGATTAATTTGCGAACGTTTTATGAAGCGTTCGGTTGTATCACAGGGACCGAGTGAAGCCGGCTACGATCGAACGTGTGCCTGCTGTACTACCATGCTTCAGAGAACTCGCAGACATGATTGGCTACATCTTGAAACGAACTTTAATTTAAACATACTACGAGCCGCCAAAAAAGATTAGTCAATTTTTACCATCCGTCAAGTGCAATATCCCTCTATAAGATGTAGGTGTGTACTAACTTGATTGTGAACGTGATCTCGAGTACATAGAACAAACAAAAAGAGTCCACATAAAAGAACCTATAGCCGACGTGATCGCTGAGGCATCGACGTTCCGTGAAGTTTGCAGTCTGTGAACATGTTCAAGATCGACCCCGCCATTACATTAGATTTGATATGCCACAAATCCTCGCAAAAGAACATAGATTTTTACCTAGGATGATTCGCGGGGCTATTGCAATTAAAAAACATCCTAATTTCAACAAAGAAGATGGACGGTTACTACCATTTGCTTGGAATCTTATAATTAATAAAACTAAATCCAAACCCAAGCACACCACCGCAAGAATTCCAAAATATTGTAAGCTCATTCTGCATAGATCGGGCCATAAATTAATATTCAAAAACTGAAGGTAAAGGTAGTCGCGCTAACTATGACGTTGGGACGTCATACATCTCAGGCCCCCCGTGACCATGGGTGCTGTAAAGCACCCGTAACGTCGTGAAGTAAAAAAAAATGCGATAAAATCCGTAAAAATTAATTTAATTTAATGTGGAGTGTTCGACTAAATATAAGATAACATTAATAAGATTTCTACATTTACTTGAAAAATTGAAATCGTCGCAAATTGCGACTCAATTCACAATATTTTTGCTGTCTGAGAGACCCTTACAAATGCGTGCGCGCGGAATAAAATAATCAGCGTTAGATGTTTATGAAATGAAATGAAATAAAAATACTTTATTCAACAGTGCAAAAAGCACCTTTACAAATAATTTAGCAGTGGTTCTCACACTAGGCACGTAGACCTGTATCGTGAGAGCCATATACACATATTAACAAAAAATAGAAACAGGCACAGTGCACGGCTGACTTTACAAAGCTTTCCCTTTAAATATCTACTCCAATTTATTTATGGTCTATAAATATAAACATATACTTAAACATATATAAACACATTAAATATATTATATATACATCCATATATACTCAAACATACATACATCCTTATACATATATATGTATCATATATACAAACATCACATATATGTATGTATGTATATGTGATGTATATTATAATTTGTTAATAATACTGTATTTCAAATTAGCAATTACTGCTATAATAACAATATCGATATCAATATTGGGCACGTAGCTACTATGACAATGTTTGAAACAGCTTTTCTGTTTGTTCGTAACTAAGCGTAAGCAACCAATTTCGTATTTTTATTCTAGTTGTGTTCGTCGAGCAATCTCTTATGTCGCATGCCTTCATAACTTTATTAGTGTTGCGTGAATAAGTCAACGTCATACACTAGCGCCATCTAGTGTCAGGAACGAGAGCGAGGGGAGCTTTGCAGAAAATGACATCACAAATCTTTCAACCGACAGCGCCATCCGAAGAACTAAGTTTCTAGAAAATCTACACTCGAACACTCGTCGCTTTGCGCGCATTTACTTGAATATTCCGGATGCTTCATTGCTAATTTGTATATATAGGCGCTGCAAGATGCGATCGGGGCAGTATTGGATTTGGCGAGACAAGCGAAGCTTCGGAGCGGAATAAAGTGAATTAGTGTGTTTAATTATTAGTGTTTTAAGTTTTAATTTGTGTAAAGTAAGTTTAAGTGTTAATTTAGGGAATTTTATCGGCAATTTTTATTGTCACGAACCTCAAGCTCGTAACAATTGGTGTCAGAAGTGGGATAAAATCATGCCGATTTTACCTAAGGACGAGATGGAGGGTGTCCGTACCCGAAGTCAACGCCAGCAGGAGTCGGACCAGAGGAGATTTGGTGGTGCAACGCCGCAGATGTCTGAGGGCCAGCCGCCGGCCACGGAAGCCGGCCCGTCAGCAGCTTCTACGTCTGTGGCACCTGACTTAGGTGCTCTGATGGTGATGCTGCAGCAGCTGCAGCGCGGACAGGAGGAACAGGCCCGCCGATTGGAAGAGCAGCTGCGGGGCGGACAGGAGGAACAGGCCCGCCGGCAGGAGGAACAGGCCCGCCGGCAGGAGGAACAGGCCCGTCGTTTAGAAGAGCAACTCCAACGCGATAAGGAAGAGCAGATGCTCCTTATAAAAGACCTTCACGCTACCTTCAGAAAAGAGATACGGGAGGTGAAGGATAAGGCTGCTCTACATGACAACCGCCTGTCGGAAGCTGAAACCCGAATCGACCAAGTAAACAATCGGGTTGACAACGTAATGGCTGACGTGAAGAAAACGCTGGACGAACTCAAACTTGGGGAGGGAACTACAGCTCCCGTAGTAGCTACTACACCTTCGCTACGTGGGTTCAAGGTGCCACCATTCGACGGGACTTCTTCCTGGTCAGCATACAAAATCCAGTTCGAAGCTGTTATGAAGGCGAACGGCTGGAATAAAAGTCAGGCCATGACTGCTCTCACACTAGGCCTGCGCGACCAGGCCTTAACAGTTCTGGAAGCTCTCGGTGAGGAAGTGACTTATGAGCAACTCCTTGAGGCATTGGAGGCGAGGTATGGCGACGCTCACCTGGAACACGTCTTTCGTGCGCAGCTTAAAGATCGTGTGCGGCGCATCAACGAAAACCTGCAGCAGTGGGCTCTAGAGGTGGAGAAGCTGGTGCGAAAAGCATACCGGTCTGTACCTGCGCTCATTGAAGGGAACCTGGTGCAGACATTCATCGACGGCATCCGCGATCTGGAAGTCAGAGCTGCTGTGAGGCTCGGGCACCACGAGACGCTTAAGGACGCCTTGGCCCATGCACTGGAAGTGGAAGCCGTGCGGCAGGATCATCGTTCCCATCGCGTCAGGGAGGTTGCAGCAGCTACAGTTCGCGACCGCAACAAAGGATACAGCCCAAGGTGCTATGGCTGTGGGGAAAAGGGCCATCTTCGATCCAGCTGCCCTAAGCGAACCCTAGAAAGGGAAGGTGAACGATCTCAGGAGGGTAGTGCGGCCAATAGCACCGCCCAGCAGCAGCAGGGAAACGAGTAAAAGCTAGAACTGCGGGGCGGGTGCTGGCTGATGTTAAAAGAGCCCCAAGGATCTCGATCTCACAAACCCATAATGGGAACAGTCTAAGCATCAAGGGCGAGGTCAACGGAATGCCGTGTAAACTGACCATAGACACTGGAGCCTCTCGTACGGTTGTTAGTTTCCAACTTATAAGTCAGTTCCTTGGGGACTCCGCATACAACCGAGAACGCATTAATTTGGTAACAGCCACCGGTCAGCGTATACCCGTCCGTGGAGAGAAGGAGATGGAGTTGAAGCTATGGAACGTGATCTACCTGCATAATGTCATCGTGGCTGATATTATGGACGACTGCATCCTAGGCCTAGACTTTATGAGGAATAATTATTGTGAGATCGACGTTAAGCAAGGTGTTTTGAAATGTGGACAGGAGGAACTTTTTATGGAAGGTGCGTTACCAGGGAACGTGTACAGCATTAAGAAGATTGTTCTTCCGCCGAGATCGGAAACGATTGTTCCGGTT